AAGTGTTCAACGAGCTTAGGAGCTTTAGGACAAGTGTTTGTAAATAGTTCTTACTTGGGGGATGTTTGTTGATTGAATATGTATGAATTGTGTGGTGCTTTCGGTGTGTTTATTATTTATTAATATGTAAGTTRATAGGTGTTATTGAGATGGTTTCGTGCTTAACCTTGCTATACTTGAATATCTCATGTATTTAGAGTTTGTTGGGCATCATTTGAGGACTTCTAGTTGTTATTGTTGGGTTGCATCCTTGTTGTTTCTTTTGTTCCTTTCCTTTTACATATTAGGAAAATATCTTGTGTCATGAWTATTGGATGTGCCTTGAAAGTTGCTGCTCGGTATGGTTGGAAGTGATTAAGCTTTGATGTTTGAAAGCATGTCTTGGGATTGAAAATGCACGTGATAGTTTTATGTTATTTAGTTTATGTTTGCTTAGTTGGAAGCTACGGGATTATTTTCTTGTTTTGTACGATGAAGAGCATGTTGGATAATTGTGTTTTGATTAGATGTGTGAATGGCTTGTCGATGCATTTGAAAGATTGGAATTGGTGGTCTATCGAGTAAGGAGAAGTAAGTAGACGAGGGGCGGGTGCGTGCGTTGATGTTTATTATTTGGTTGCTGTTGTGCTGTTTTATGACGTTTAATATTGATTTCGATACGTTATTGTGCAGTGTAACTCTTGTTTATGTTGGTTTATGTGCCTGAGTAGTGTTGCATGTCCGTCGGTGATAATAGTGGAAATTTTGTATTGTTGAGCTGCTGAGATCTGATGTGGAATGATGTATGTTGCAGGGAATGCTCGTTAAAGTGGACTTATTGTGGAGATGTTGTTGTCTGAATTTTGCATAAGATGTTTGGCGTGTCTGATGTGTTTATTTATGTCTAGCAATGCTTATTGAATATTGATGTTGGATGATTTCTTCGAATGTTGGATATTAAATGTTTGGATGAATTGTGTTRGGYGTGTTCTTAAAAGTTTTCTGAACCATTATGTGAAAAGTATGTTATGAGAAGMATGCCATAGGGTTATTTGTTGAAGCTTTTGGGTGCTCTATGTTGTGATCAGGTTGGTTGCTGTCAAACTTTGTGTTTTTGAGATCTGTGATGCATTGAAATCATACTAGTGGTTGTGTCGTGATGGGCGTTGTGGTGGTTGCTGTTATTAGGGAAGTAGTACTGAAATCCTGGTTGGAGGCTAGAAATGATATGTGGAGTTATGAAAGTTACGAAGTGAATGGGTGAGTGTCAGGGCCTCGGGTATAAATGGTCGAGGGCTGATACGTCACTAA